TGGCTGAAGCTGAGAGGGTCAGGGAGAGGATGAGAGTACTGCAAAGTTTCTCTCCTTTGGCTTGCACCCTATAAGGGGGATTCTCTCCAGCCCCCACAGTCAGGGAAGAAGAAAAGGCAAGAGAAGGAGCCCAGGATGCCTGTGGCCATCCACAAGAAGGCACATTAAACACTTCCCTTTGAATTGAGTCCTCAGTAGGGACTTGGCATTTGGTAGAGGCTCACCAGTGACCTGAACATAGTCACCTATCCATGAAGAATTGGAAATCCTGACCCAGAGAGCAGTTAGAGAAGAACTGCACTGACAGCTGCATCCCTGGGATGCCAACACTCAGGATAGAGACCCCACACATCACAGTTTTCAGCTCTGGACTTAGGGACAGAAGTTCTAGCTCCTCAGTGGTGCGTAACTTTCAATAAACCACTTAACCTCTGAGAGCCTCTGTCCTTGTATGAGATGGGGATAATCCCATCCACCTGGGAGGGCCATTGTCAGGACTAAGTGAGTTGACTGCTAACTGCTGCATAGCCCCATTTATCTGCCTGTCTGCCTGCCTATCTCTGTAAAATAGTGATAGTAATAGTTGCTGCCTCTTAGAGTTTTGAGAATTGAATGATGAAGTGAGTAATAAAAACCTTCCAAATCCCTGAACAAGTGGAGTGACTATTATTGCAAAATATCCCATCTATATTGGAGGTAACACTGCCTGGTAGTTATTGAATGCAGCACTGTCTAAGAGAAATAGAACATGAACAACACATGTAATCTAAAATTTTCTAGTAGTCACATTAAGATGAAGTAAAAAGAATCAGGTGTAAAGACTTTAATAACAAATCTCCATTCCTCCAGTGTATGTGTGTGTGTGTGTGTGGGGGGGGGTGTGCTGCCAGGGAAGAGGCTCTGCAGAGTCAGTGGAACTCTAGCTCCTGCTGGGACTTACTAAGTCCTTTGGCTGCCTAAAGGCCACCTGGACCCCGAACTCCAAGAGTAACTTTTTTGGAAGTACTGAGTTGGAATCTAATAGCGACTGTGTGGGACAGGGGAAAGTGGAAGTGACAGTTGCCTTTGGGAAAGAGGAAGAGAAAAGGCAGAAAAACTTGCCTCTCAGAAGCCACAGGCCACAGGAGGCTTCCGGGAAATGGGAGCCCTCAAGGATTTTGGAGGAGGCGGGTGACACCACATGAAGGTGAAGAAAATACAGTGGGCTTTTGGGAAGGGGGGTCCTCTGACCGAGGCCCCTGCCTACCAGAACCCGGGCCTTCCAGCCCATGGGACCAGAGGCCTCTGCTTGGTGAAACCATATGACCCTGCAACCCACCAGGTTCTAAGGTCTGGAGTTTCTGGCTTCTGCATCCAGAAGGCTGAGGCTCCCCACCCAACCCGAAGCGCGCGCGCGCGCGCACACACACACACACATACACACTCGCGCGCGTACGCACACGCATACACACACTCTTCCCACACGCCTCTAATCGCACCCCTGCGCGCAGAGACGCCTACTCGCCCACCAAACACATGCAGCCCTCTGGGAAACCACAGGTACCTTAGAGCAGAACGCGAATGCCCAGAAGCCACTCAGGTCTTGGAGGCTCCAGGGGCCTGCCTCCACTTACCTGGTTCGCTGAATAGAGGCGAGAGGGCGCTGCCCGGCGAACTTCACACTTTGCACTGGCAGTGGACTCCGCAGTGACTTAGAGAACACCCCTCACTCCCACCCCGAGTTTCCCGAAGCCCTGCGGCTTTGACCCTGCAGGGTCCCTCCATCACCTTCAGTAGATAAAGAATTCCACGGCGGCACGTTGGGGACGAATAGCCTGTAGCTCAACCTGAGGTGGGTAGGGAGAGGGGGTCGCTTTGGGGTGAGAACCTCAAATTGAAGTTTTGACTGCTAGAGACCAGTTGTTCAGTAGAGGGGCTCTGCTGGCGGCCAATCCTCAGCTTTCCTTCAAAGAGGCTTTTAGTACTTTACGCACTGCGCCGGTGCCTTCTGGCCTCCTTTGCGTTGCTTCTCTGACTCTCCATTTCTTCCACCAACTCCTCTCTTTCTTTCAGCATGTTGGACTCCCCGTCAACGAGCTTACAGCTCCTCTGGATTCGGGATGGGGTATAATCCCTGTTCCTGCTTATCCAGGACTGGGAGCCTGGCGAGGTGATACAGAACCCGCTGTGGCAGTTGAGAGCGAAGAGGCAATAGGGCCTGGGGCTCCGAGAGACCCGGGCAGAGCCCAGCAGGAGTCGGGGTGGGGGAGCTGGGCCTTAAAATGGGGTGTACTACTCAACAAAGGCCTTAACATCCGGGCCAACCTTCGTGTCTCAGTCATGCGCAAGCAGCCTGACAGGGGTGGGGTTGTTTCCAATATTTTTTTGGGGGACAGAGTGGGGGTAGTAGGGAGATGGGAAGAGGGAGGAGTGGCTACGTAAGGACCGACTCAAAGAAACCGATGGGGGTGGGAATGTGAACCTAAGAACCTACCGAGATACAGCAAAGCTCCGGGGAAAAGGGTGACCGCGACAGCAGCACAGGGACAAACAGGAACGAACCCGCTCAGACAAAACCAGAGTCCTAGAGACCCTGAGATGGCTGAAGACTCTCAGAGGTTTTGAAACTACTGGGCTGGGGCAGCAGGAGTCCCCAGAACCACACTCTGGGGACTCAGTTGCAGTCCTCGATGGCGAGTGTCAGGCAAACCCGAGGAGACACACGTGTGTGTGTGTGTGTGTGTGTGCGCGCGCAGGGGAGGGGAGCGCGGGGCGGGGGGGGTGAATGGCACAGTCCTGCCTGGTGCGTACGCAGAGAGCTGCGGTGCCCTGCGCGCTCTGGAAGCGGCTGGTCTCTCTTCACCCGGAGGGATGGAGCTGCCCGCTGGAGTTCAGTGGATACTCAGAGAATCCCGTGTGTTTGTTCAGGCCAGAACCCTAATCTTCATAGACCCGAGATGCGGTGGAGGGTGACCTCAAAATGTTTCCCACTGAACCGCGGTCCTAGTGTGCGCTCATCGCGTATGAACGCGACGGGAACACTTACAGGGCTGTTGCGTTGCCCGCCCCGCGCCCAACTTCAGGTTGGGGTAGAGCAACATAACTGCCCAAGCTCTCTCCCCAAGCGGCCAAAACATTTTCGCGGGGAGCGCGCTTCACCAAGAGGGCTGATTCTCCCAGTATTACAGTTGCTGTTCTTAACCTTTCAGTTCAATTCTTAGTTAAAATATATTCACTTTATTTAAAGTAGGCGACCAAAACCACGCCCTACCACAGCCTCCCCGGAGGCGCAGGAGAATAGAAGGTTGTCAGAGTAATTGGAGGCAAATATTTTACTTTCTAACAGTTAAAAAAAACAAAAACAAAACTCTGGCAGCGTCTGCATTGGTGTGGCCCACGGGACCCCTACGCGCATCGGTTGTGCCGGTCCCAAGCAAACAGAAGTCGCGACGCACTCACTAGGTGCTCTCTTTTCCTGCCTTTTGCTGTACGCCCAAAGCTGTAAGCAGAAGGCTACGCGGGAGGCGGGTCGGATCTCCGGGTCCAGCGAATTCGCGATTTATCCGCTTTCAGCGACCGGGCGGGGATCTCTAGGAAAACCTTGTTTCCCGCCATCCTGGCCCGGGGTAGGGAGGGTGCTTGGCAACCGAAAGAGCCCCGTCTACCTAGTGCGCTGCGCTCCTGTCTCCCCGTCTGCGTTCCAGGGAGGTTTCTCTCAAGACAGCCCTGGGCCCCCTCGCCTGGGCGTTTCCACTTTTGGCCACCGGACCTCCCAACCCTTACCCTACCCAGGGCCTTCCTGCGCAGGGAAGAGCCGACCCGCACCACCGAAGGCCGGGGCAAGTAAATTGTCAGAGGGGACGACTAGAGCAGGGCTCGTGACTTAGTCTGAACATGAGACCCGAGCACTAGTACGTGACTTCAGGGGAAGCTGTCCTAGACTCCAGTGCACACACAGCCTGCATTAGGGCCGGTCTCGGGATGGGCCAGGTTACTGAGACCTGGGCTGGGTCAGAGGCGCCGTCCAAGCCTTCCGGCAATGGGCCGGCGGTTCGGGGCGCCTTTGCGCATCGTGACCACTTGGGGTCGCACTTTATGCCTGTTTGAGCCGCTCTCGTGGCCAGCAGACTCCGGGATCTGCTTAATCGTTACAAAACGTTCAAACAAAAACAGGGCTGGTTCCCCAGCAGCCGAGAACCATCTGGAGCACCATCCCGGGCTCGCTTCGGCCCGGACCCTGGATTATTCAGGGTTCTGTGCGTCTGGCTGAGGAAAAGGATTCAGAGCCTTTGGGCCGATTTTTTCTCCATTGCCATCATCGTGAGCATTTGGGGGTGGGGTGGACGCAGGGAGCGGGGAGGCCAGCGGAAGAGTAGTATCTTAGGGCTCGGCCACCGCAACAGCCAGGAGGGAAACAGATCCTTTTGGCCCGAGAGAGCTTTCCTGAGGTTAAGAGTTGGGTCCGAACACAACTCTTGGAGCCCCACCCCGCCGTCTCCTCCAGAAACACAGGCACGCACGGCACACATTCACGCAGTCTCGAGGACACACAGAACGTCGCCCACTTGGGCGGGGGCCGCTTGGGAACAAAGGGCCCAGGAGGCATCATCCCGGCGCTCCTTCTTGAGCCTCCTTGTGGGTGACACGGCTGAGGGTGGGAGTGCAAAGGGTACTGAGGGAGGTGAACGTTCGAGGAGGTGGTGGAAGTGGCGACTTGGCCGGGAGGTGGGGCGCACACGGAAGGCGAGCGTGCGGGGCCACGACCAGGAAGGGGGGTTGGGCCCTTGCCCGGCGTCCCACTAGCTCCAGCCCTCTGCCAGGCCTCAGCTACTCCAGAGCTGCTCTGGCCGCCAGTCAGCTGACGCTGGGGGCGGGGGAGCTGTCAGGCACGCCCCGCCCAGCGCCGCTGGGCCGCGGGGGCCGTGCAGCTATTGGCCAGCGCGCCGGACCGCCTGGGCCCCCGCGCCCCAGTGACATCAGGAAGGCGATAAAAGGCGGCGGCGGCTCCGGATCCAGCACAGCTGCACCGCCTGGCTGCGAGCGGCTGAGAGCGAGAAAGCCCTAGAGCAAGAAAGCTATAGAGCGATCAGCAGGCGCTCGCCGTGCGTTTCCCCTTTGCCCCATCGCGCGCCTCGCTTGCTTCTCCACCCCACCCGGCTTGACCCGACTCAGTCCCGGCGCCGCAACAGCCTCGAGCTCTGGGGCTGCGCAGGCAGCCTCTGGACTCTCCGGCGCGCCGCCGCGTCCCCAGACAAAGGCTTGGCCGGAGGCCCCGGCCCGCTGCACCCTTCGCTCTCCGCCTTCCCGGCTCGCCGCTCTTCGCCCCCGCGCTTGGCTCGGCGCGCCCCAGCCGGCCGCAAAGTTTCCCTCGCGGTAGCAGCGACTGAGCCTCGCGTTAGCGATGGCCGCGGAGCTGAGCATGGGGCCAGAGCTGCCCACCAGCCCGCTGGCCATGGAGTACGTCAACGACTTCGACCTGCTTAAGTTCGACGTGAAGAAGGAGCCGCTGGGCCGTGCGGAGCGTCCAGGCAGGCCCTGCACGCGCCTGCAGCCAGCCGGCTCGGTGTCATCCACACCGCTCAGCACACCGTGTAGCTCGGTGCCCTCTTCGCCTAGCTTCAGCCCGACTGAACAGAAGACCCACCTCGAGGACCTGTACTGGATGGCCAGCAACTACCAACAGATGAACCCTGAGGCGCTCAACCTGACGCCCGAGGACGCGGTGGAGGCACTGATCGGCTCACATCCAGTGCCACAGCCGCTGCAGAGCTTCGACGGCTTCCGTGGCGCTCACCACCATCACCATCACCACCACCCTCACCCGCACCACGGGTACCCAGGTGCCAGCGTGGCCCACGATGAGTTGGGTCCGCACACGCACCCGCACCATCACCACCATCACCAAGCGTCGCCGCCGCCGTCCAGCACCACCAGCCCAGCGCAACAGCTGCCCACCAGCCACCCCGGGCCCGGTCCGCACGCGGCAGCCGCAGCGACGGCAGCGGGTGGTAACGGTAGCGTGGAGGACCGCTTCTCCGACGACCAGCTCGTGTCCATGTCGGTGCGTGAGCTGAACCGCCACCTGCGGGGCTTCACCAAGGACGAGGTGATCCGCCTGAAGCAGAAGCGGCGAACCCTGAAGAACCGGGGCTACGCCCAGTCATGCAGGTATAAACGCGTCCAGCAGAAACACCACCTGGAGAATGAGAAGACGCAGCTCATTCAGCAGGTGGAGCAGCTTAAGCAGGAGGTGTCCCGGCTGGCCCGCGAGAGAGACGCCTACAAGGTCAAGTGCGAGAAACTCGCCAACTCCGGCTTCAGGGAGGCGGGCTCCACCAGCGACAGCCCCTCCTCTCCCGAGTTCTTTCTGTGAGTCGTGGCGGGTCCCGGCCCCCGCCCTTGCCCTGGTCCGGACTCCCAGTCCCGTGTCCCCAGCCCTGGACTCCCCTGGACCCTGTCCCTGCCATGGCCCCAGCCTTGACATGTTTGACTTGAGCGAGAGGGAGGAAAGAGGCGCGGGCCGCGGGCGACGGGCGGGAGCGCGGGCGGGCAGGGGACTTTGGCTAAGGCGAGAGTAGTGTACGCCAGCGCCGCCTCCTAGACTCGGGCAGAGCCCGAGAGACCAGGGGGGTGGGAGCTCCCGGAGCAACTTTTCTCCAGGCTGGAAGGCGGCGCGGCATAGTACCACGGCCGTCTGGAGACTCCTGGCTTTCTGAACTTTGTGAGTGCCAGGGCTGCTGCTTCGCATTCCGGAGCTCAGCCTGCTCCAGGAAGAGAGCAGAGGAGAGGGACCCTAGCGTCCCGGCAGGCGTGAGACAAGGCTGAGCAAAGGGAGGAAGAACAGACGGACCTGTCTGTCCAGAGTCCTCCGGAGAACACTGGCTCGAAGTCGAGAGACGCGGGCCTCAGTTAGGACTTTCCACGCGCGCAAATCTCATCAGTTTTATTGCCTGCTCAATTATCTAGAAAAATACGAAAATCCGCATTAAAAATATTAATCCTGCATGCTGGACATGTATGGTAATAATTTCTATTTTGTACCATTTTCTTGTTTAACTTTAGCATGTTGTTGATCATGGATCATAACCCCCTTGTTTCTTTGGGTGAGAAGGGATCGCAGTTTCGAAACTCCGGCGGCTGCGAGCTGGGTTTCAGTCCTGGCGGCTTGTAAATACCCGCCCCGCCAAACCGCATAGAACATGGCAGCAAGCGAGTGTCTTTGTTTGGGTTCATTACTATGGCATTTTTGTTTGTAAGTAAAAAAAGAAAAAGTAAAAAAAGCATTCTGGGCATTTAGCATCCCGCAATAACTTTGTCTTGGGCGCCCTTGGAAGTTGCATGTTTTTTTTTTTTTTCCTTCCATGTCCATATTCCGTCCTCTTTTCCCTCCTGCTTTAGTTTTCAATTTGTTGGTTTTGAGGGAAAGAGAGGCAGCTGTGGAGTTCCACACCATGGAGGTCAGTGCTTGTCCTCTATCCCTACCTTGTCTAATAAGAGAGGAAAGGAAGCCGATCTCCTCTGCTTTTCATTGTAGCCAGAATTATTCCAGTGCCCCTTTTGAATCTTCCTGGAAGGCACTGATTGCAGGGACCCAGCGCTCCTAGGGTGAGAGGCTTCAGCAACCTTGACACTGGTCAAATGATGACCAGAGCTTACACCGAACCAACTGCCACTTCAGGATGCACCAGAAACCCAAACATTGGCCATAATTTTGCAACTTTCAAGTGCGTTCTTTAGACCAATGCAATATGTGTTTCTTTCCCTGCTTTTGAGATAGCAGGAAGAGTTATTGGTGGTGTTCCCTGCCTCCCTTCGGCTGTACAGTAGTTATAGGGATGATCTGGGTGTTTTCCTTTATTATTACTTTTTTTTTCTGCAGGTCAGTAAAAGGATTTAAGTTGCACTGACAAAAAAGAATACCAAATGAAAGCGTATTTTTTAGTTCCCATTTGAAATTGCTGGCGCTGCTGGCTGGATGCATTTTCTGAGTTTGTATTAGTTGATAAATTAACAGTAATAACAAGATTGTATGAACCGCATGGTGCTTGCAGTTTTAAATATTGTGGATATTCGTCCTGCATCAGAAACAAGCTTTGGTTTTTACGGATTCAACTGTGTTGAAATCAAACTTGCCGCAAAAGAAATTGTTTTTATTTCATGTAAAATAAGGGATCAATTTCAAACCCTGCTTATGATATGAAAATATTAAAACCTAGTCTATTGTAGTTTTAATTCAGACTGGTTTCTGTTTTTTGGTTATTAAAATGGTTTCCTATTTTGCTTATTAAAACCATGGAAATGGTGTTTATTTAGAGGATTCCGAGTTTACATGACTGACTGATTCTCTTGTTTGCTTCTCTAAGAATTGTTCCAACTTGGGGGCACTGTCTTCTCCTCTGGCAATGGAAATGCACACCAAGGCCCAAAGATCTCTCCCTTAAGTGTGTGAGTGAGCCTCAAACGTGTTCTCTGCTTCTCACCCTAGGTCCAAAACCAGGTCAAGAGGTGGTCTGTGAGCTGAGAGGGTGCAAGTCTGAAAGGTCTCTGAAGTCCCTGGGCACTTGCCGCTTTTTCAGCGCTTTCAGTCTTGGTTATTGGGAATGGCTCTGCTAGCTTGCCTGCTGTGAGGTACTGAATGGCAGAGACCAGGAAGCCAAGAGTTGCTGCTCCGATGGGGAATCCAGGTCTTTTTGGTGCTCAGGTCCAGCCATCCTACTGCCCCTGCCTTTCTGCCTGGCACTGGCACTGGAGCTGCTGAGGGCTAGAATTCCTGCTCTGAATGGGGAAGCCTGACTTCCTTCCCCAAGGCAGGTGACATTCAGCACCAAATCTTGGGGTACATCACTTTCCCGACAGGAAGGCCCTCCTTGAAGACTTCTTTCTGGGGTGGTCTGCTTAGGGTGTCCAGCAGCTCAGGCTGGAAACCCTCAGTCCCACTGCATGGCCAAGCCTGGATTTCAGTGTCTGCCTGCACAAACTGGGAGTTGGAGAGATTTATTTTTTTCCAGCATAACAGCTCTGAGTATAACCTGCAGATTCCCCATACGGTAATGGTCCTAGAGGCCCTAGACTCTTTCTTTTCCTGGATCCTTGGAAAAAACAGCAGTGCCCATCTAACTCGCCCCAAATTCCTCTCAGCCTCCTTCGAAGCCTGTCTTAGGGTTGGCCTCAGATGCCTCTGGATGGTGGGGTAGGATTCACAAACCTCAGAAGACATCCGTACTCTTTGGGTAGTGGTTAGCTCCAGGGACTTCCAGTTCCTGCAGTCTCAATATTCTGTCCTCGATATGATATTCAGAGCTAGTGAGGTTCTCTGGCCCAGAGTTCCTAACATGAAATTTCTCCAGGATGGAGAGGTGTAGGAGACCCAAGCAGTGGAACACCAAAGGAGAACGTGAGCTAAGTGGAGCCTGGGAGAAGGAAGGGGAAAGTGAAACTCATGAGAACAGATTTTGGTCTAGATCCCTGGATGCTGGTGTGTGTGTGTGTGTGTGTGTGTGTGTGTGTGAGAGAGAGAGAGAGAGAGAGAGAGAGAGAGAGAGAGAGAGAGAGAGAGAGAGGGAGAGAGAGGTGGCAGTGGTGGCTGGGGTCTGGGGAAGATGAGTGGGGATCTAAAAAGTAAAGTTACAAATAATTTTAACAACAACGTACATATACAGTGCTTTCATGTTGTTTAGTAGGAGAGAAGCTCAGGATTCCGGCTCAAATTTAACTCCCCAATGCAGTCCGTTTCACTAACTCAAAAGAGTGTCTGGCAGGGAAGGCTTTGACTGCGATCTCAGAGGAGGCGGTTGAGCCTGGTTGCCAGTAACTTTGCCCTACTGTACACAGATCAAGGAGCAAGGGGTAGGATAGTTTCCTAATTGAATGTGCAAGTGTTCCTGCACAAGCCCACATACACAGTCGCATTCCCTTTAGGCTAAAGCTTTGCATGAGGCCAGGGTCACGCAGGCATCTGAAGGAACTTTGGAGGGTGGCTTCTACAGAGACCAAAGGGATCACGGATTCCTGGGTGATGGAACCCCTAAACCAGGTGACTTGACTCCTTTTGGAATCGTCCTAGTTGGAGGCGTACTCTTCACTTCTAGGGTCACCTAAACTTTGAGAAAAACCTCCACATTGGGGAGGATTGCAAACTGCAAAGCGTTGGCCTTACTTCCTTAGCGCTCAGAGACACCCAAACCAACCCAGTGATGGACGCCATCATATTGCTTCCAGAAAGGACAAGGTAACTTCAGCCAGTTCAGAGTGACCAACTACATCTTGGAGAAGAAGACAATTCCATGACACAGTCCTAGTGACACACTGACGCACAAAGATACAGACACCCTCACCCTGTACCCACATCGATGCCCACGTATGCACTGTCAGTCCCAGAACCAAGCTACCTACTGAGCACTAACCAGCCCTGGGCACACGCTGGCGAGAGCCGGGCAGAGCCAGCCGCTAGGAGGAGGAGGAGGAGGAGGCTGAGGCGTCGGGAGCTTGGAGGTCGGGTTAGCACAGCAGGGCAAGCCCCGGCCACGTCTCCACACGCTGCCTGCAGTCCCGACCCGACGCGACGCCCCAGACCCGGAGCCCACAAGCGCAGGAAAAGAGAACTGGGTGCCAACGACCTCCGGCGAGTCCCACCCTGCGGCACTCCGCAACCTTGATTCTCCTTTTCGGTTCCCACCACTCCTCGCGAGCACCTCGAGATCCTCCACGTCCCTCGGGGAAAAAACCCTCCAAGAGCCTGGAGTCCTCCGACCCGGCACGGCTCCTACATAGACAGGCTGGCGCCTGCATCGGGAGACGCACGCGGAGACAGACAAACACAGACACCGGGACGCACGCAGGGGGGACACACAGTCCGGGAATGTGGCTCCATTCCTGGCCGCACCCCTTGCTGGGGCGGCCACGTTCCAGTTCCGTGCGAAACCCCCTTTCCTGTGCCCCCCGCCATGTCACCGGTGTGCGGCAGGGTCAGCCACCACTTTAGGCGGGCGGGGCAGGGTGTAACACAGGCGCTCAGGGAGCCAGCCCTCCGTCCGTCCCTCCCTTCCTTCCTTCTTCCCTTCCTTCTTTCCTCCCTCTCTCCCTCCTTCCTTTCCCCTTAATCTTTTCCCTTCTCCTCCCCTCCTCTTCCCATTTCCCATTCCTTTATCATTCTTTCCTAATCTCTTTCACTTCAGAAACTTTCTTTTGCTTTGTTTTCTCTTCTGCCTTTTATTCCAGCGATGACAGGTGGATAAGGGCAACCAAATCAGGTCCTGAGGTGTCTGAAGCAAGAGAAGAGAAATGAGAGGACAGACAGGTGGGCCTGCCATTCCGGAAGTCACGGCGGGTGTCCTAGCTGTTGCTCTAGATCTGGCTTGCCGCAGTTCCCTTCCATCCTGTCGCCAGCACCAGGGTGGACTGGGGAATGGGGAATGACAGGGAGCAGTGTCCTGTTGGCTGACAAGGGGGCAAATCTCAGTATAACAGATCTCTGGGTAAGCTGAGGCTGGTCATAGACCCCCAGTCTCACTGACACAGTCAAGTTTTCCTAGATCCTCTGGGCATTTCTGTGGCAGGGTCTGTAGCTGCAAACCGCCCCCCCCCAAGAGGGGACTCGCCCCTGCAACTGGTGCCTGCCTGGGGGACTCCTGCACCCCTACTCAGGGTGGAAGCTGCCAGGAACCACATCAGCTAAACCAGGCTGGCCACTCAACCTTCTCTGTGACCTGGATTACAGCTTCTGCTACCCAGGCAAATCCTTGGTCCTCACTCTCCTGTCCTCTGAGCCTTTTAGAGTTTTCAGTGATTCCCTTTCAGGCTTTCAGATGCAAAACTCTGGACTCTTCTGTTTTCAGAAAGGAGACCCTGAACTGGCTTCTTGCATAATGGTTACTCTTCCCTCTGCAGCCTGAAGTCTGAAGGCCTGGCCGCTCATACCAGAGATAGTTGTGTTTAGATTTTATTTTGTAGGGAATCCTTCTCCCCTCACCAAAATAAAAGTGGTCAAGTGGGGCATCCTGTGGGCAACATCATTTCCTGCAGCAGCCCTCTGCAAAGAAGTCAGACTAGCTGGAGGAGCTTCTGCATGATGGCGCCTAGCACAGCACAAAATCCAGCTACAATGAAGGTAGCTGGATGTTCCTTGGTTGAGGAAGCAGCCACCATGGGCCCTCCCAGGCCAGGCCATACCAGCAGTAGCTGCTGCCAGGAACTTCATCCTTTTCACAGTTGCTGGCTGGGGAGCAGGGCCCAGACTTTGGAGAGCACCTCTTTCAGCAC